GAAAGCCAAAAGCCACCAAAAGCCAAAAGCCACCAAAAGCCAAAAGCAAAGAGAAAGCTATCAAACCACGAACGGTGAAACAAATTCTCAAAAAGGACGCGAAAAAGAATCCTAAAAAAATATGAGTTCCTCCATTAACCAGCCCGACTGTGGGTCCTAGTAATTGTCTCATCCCTAGTGTCATAGTGGATCCCATGCAGCCACTAGTGGATCCCAGGCAGCCACTATCGAACCACGGGGCCAACCAGGGGCCCGGTAGGAGACCTACTGGGCTGCCCAGTCGAATCATTGGTTTCCTCGTGGTACACTCCGAACATGGTCGTGGGCACTGGCAGCACCTGTCTGGCATTCAGAACATGGCACCCATGATGCCAGTCACTGCATCCACTGGGTGCTGCATCCACATCAGCTAACAGGACCCTGCAACAAACCCTAGGGCTCCGAGCACCTTCGTTTGGTTTAGAGGATTCAAAATGGTCCTAATACCATCTAATATCTTCTGAGGTGCCTATATAGACCCCCAGATACAGTAGATAGAAAAGTAGATCCTCACTAAAGATGTATTGGACACCGTTTCCATCTATTTGGGGATCACTATAGCGCCCTGGCGAAAAGACTGGGAAAGAAACCTCTCCCCCACGGAAAAACTGCTCCCGACTCTTCGGCTTTCTTCGACCAACATCGGCAAAGATCTGTGCAAAAAATCGACCGGAGCTTGGATGCAACATGTGAAACTCGATCACGTTTGTTCTTATTTTTGGAGATTTCAGCTTCAAGGCTCATGTATTTCAATGGCCCTCTGTGCGTTAAGCTTCAAGGAGTTCAGTGCTTTTCTGGCCTTTCGGGTTCCCACCTGTTCCCCTCCAAGCTCCTTTTACTGGCTATATGGTCTTTTCGACTCGTCCTCCATGGTCGCAACTGCAGCGAAAGGCCGCAAATCATATCATCACCCAACTCCAGACTTTGTGGCTCCAAATTTGGCTCTATGAATTTCAGATTTCGAGGTTCCTCCTCACACCCTCTAAAGATCCTTCTCCCAACACCTACTCCCCTTCTGCCCATGACCTTCCCCGACACACCGCACCCCACAACCCGTCTCCCCACACTGCCTGAAAGCCGCCGCACTCCTCGCACGCTCCGCGCCACCCGCAGGCCACGGAAGACACGAAAGGCTCTGGAGAGCTGCCTCGGCGAAGAAGCTGCGATCCGAGCTGAGCTTTCTGGAGGATTCGCAGACCTGGAACCATATGTTCAGGAAAAGATCCTGCATAATTACATATGTTGTTTTATTTTCGATTTTCTTTTTTTTTTAGTTGCTGTGGGTGATGTTTGGTTTGAGAACGGTTTATCCACACACAATGTTGTATTTAAAAATGATCGTACTATATCTTATACTTGGCATAGTGAAACCATCATGTCTCACTCTGCCTCTTTCCCGACGAAATGTGTAAGTTTCCAGGAGTATCAGTTAACATATATTTGATGACCTAGCATCCTGATCAGGCCTCCAGCTCAACCTGAGAGATTGGAAGACCATTCGAAGGTCAGGATGCTTCTAAAATATTCTAAACATGCGAAGCGGCCGAAGCAATGCATTGGTTTTGACATTTGATGTGCTTTGATTCGACTTTTGATGTGCAAGTGCAACAAATCTTGCAGCTAAAACGCAAAAACACAAACAATAAACAACAAAGAAACAAAAGAAACCGACAAGCCAACCAACAAACAAATAAACAAACAAACAATAGCTAGCTATCAAATTGCAAACGCAACTGAGAAGAAGCCTGACTGGCTGGAAAATGGTCTGTTTTCAGTGTGTTTTCGTGGTGTGCTTGGTGCTTCAAGCACCTCATTCCGCACATAAGGATCACAAAACAAGTAGAGCCACGTTCCGGCCAAAGGCCGCAGCAGGGTCATCATGCAGTCATTGAAGCCGACCAGGACAAGTGTGTAGTCGAAAATATTCCTCGTTCGGTGGCCACCGTTCAAGACTTCAGTGACCTGCGGGATCTATATATTTCCCTACAAATCCAAGCCGTACCTTCTCAGCAGGTGATTCTGGAAACACCGCAATGTAGGTTTGGAGGGTCCAAGTACCTTCTGAGAAGGTAGTTGGATCCATAGGGTTTGCGTGCGATCTCTATACCCCTGGAACCACTGGGTTGGTCTTCGGAACATGGTCGAAACCACCGGTCCAAGACTCACTATGTGAGTTTGGGCAATCAATCTCAAAGACTCCATGGGACTGGCATATTTACCGATCAATTGGGGTGGGCCAGACCTGGGGCCAATGTACCGTACAGCCATGCCAGTCCGGAGTCATGGAGTGTCTCGCTGTCTCAGTTCGGGGTCCGTCTCCAGTCCGGCCATAGACCGGACGGCTCCGTAGGCTTTGGTGGCACCATTATTGAGAATGATGTAGACAGATGCAGAAGTCAGGCACCCGGTTTTACGGACCAAATTGAGCAACAGAACCACCCAGCAAATCACAGAGTTTGCCGCCCAAGTTTGCACCCCAATAGCCCCAAGTTCACAGCGCCACGGAGTCCAAAGGCCCCACCTGGAGTCCTAAACCCCGCTTGCGGGGACGACCCGCGCCCGCGACGTAGGCGCGTACGCGCGTAAGCGCGCGTGGCAAAGGCTCCAATTGTCCCAGAAGTAGTTCCACCTATCGAAGCTTCGGAGTCGGATGCATGTCTGATGCAAACCTCGCGAAGTTGGATTCAGCTCTCTCTCTCTCTATCAACTAAGCACCTCTTTGGGCAGCTCTACAAGGACCGAGTCGCAGCCATTGTCCACTGCCTGTGTTCCTTCAGCATGATTCAGTTCAATCATTAATTGATTACCCTGCCTCATCCCTCCAACTCCATGTTGGCTATTGCATCATATTGCATCTGTGATCCACTTCACATATCTTCACAAGATGACTATGCTTTTGCATTAACGAGACGGCGCTAAAACGCCCACACGTCCAACGCTCAAACGCCAAGCAGTCAGCACCGCCCGAGTTCACAGTCCGCGGTCGGACTTACGGGTCCGAAGAGGATTGCTGCCGTGGATCAAAAGTTCCATCCACATGCTGACGGATAATATGTTAACCCCCCCAGGCCCAAAGAAGATCTCAAAACCATGACCAGGAAACGAAGGGTTTGGATGAGCCAAGAGTTCAACATTTACAGTTTTGAGTCTCATCCAGTGAGTGGTCTTTTGTCATATAGCATCTCAACGACCTGGAACTGTGCGTATGAACACCGACACTTCATGACTCCATGGGACTGGCATCTTTACATACATTGACACCAGGTCAACCACCCCAATGTAGGTGAATATGCCAGTCCCATGGAGTGTTTGGGTATCATCGTGGGCCCTAAAAAGCCACCGCGTGCATGGCATAGACATGGCTTTGGTTGATCACTCCGGAGACTGCGTGCCCCGCGGCGCCTCTGTTGATGGATCCGCACCAGCCACTCAAGAATAAAGACCGTGGCAAAAAAGAGCTCAATGAGGACATAAACCCTGGGAAGGAACTGAGACTGTCGTGCATCGTGCTTGCTGTGGTGTGCTGTGGGAGGATGGAGGCCTGAAAAAAATGTTGAGAATTTGCGACCAATCTGACTCCTGTGGCGGCATGCTTCTTCACACCGATGATGCATTTGAAATGGCGCACGGGAGATGTTGAAGCTACCTGTATGGGAGAGACACCAATCCCTTGCGCACGTTCCAACGGGCATCGGGGCTGGTTGGAGCAAAGTCTGTCTCAATTCATCCATTCACTTCGAGCACTCTGAATGTAGAAGCTTGATTAATTAAACGGTAACATATTAGGATTATTAGGGTTTAGAAGCCAAACGGAGGTCTATAATTAATCAAAATTTCACATTAAACAGCAAAGGGGCTGGCACCAACATGCGCAAAGCAAAGTGATGTACTAAGTGATTTTATAATGATGTATATACCTCTCCCTTACCCCGTCCAAGTAAAAGGCTTTAGTATGGTGGTTGAAAACTGGTCCAATAAAATCATTAAAATCCCGAACACGCCATGAATGGCATCAGGAAAAACACCGTACAGTAGGATGTTGGAACCGGGGTGTCCAGGAAACCATTTCATACATGGTGTGTCTGAGCATTGGTTTTAAGACTACTTTACACCCCACCCCTCATGTGTCACCAAGGGGCGGCCGGCCACCGGAAGCAGCGGAGCGTTGATCGTCGACTTCGAAGCCCAGGAAGGTGGTGTTGGCGATGAGCAAAAGCACCTGGCAACTTGGAAGGTTTGGAAGCACCGCACTCCTTCGGAATTGGACATCCAAAGGCTAGGAACCCACAGCAGGGAGAGTCGGAATACATATATCTTATATATATATATATATCTTTACAAATACAGTACTTTCAGGGTTCCTCATCTTTGACGGATTCATCAACGCCTTACTAAATCATAGCAGAATTCGTTACACCCGGATATTCGAGGAGCATCTGACTTGAAAATATGTCATTTGTTCGACCAGTAGAGATGTGAGAGGTGGAGAAAAGAACAAAGGATGAACCAAAAGGGAACACCCTGATTTTTTAAGACATAAATAATCTTCTGAGGAAACCACCAGCAGGGAGTATAGCTAGCCCCGATGATGAACAACATTTGCTACCAGTAGGAAACCATGGTTCGAATCCCCGGTACTGGCGGGTCAACATGCTCCTAGTTGTGAGGGTCAAAACCCTAGCTATGAGGGTCCAATGAGCGTCTGGGCCAGGCAAAAACCTCTTCATGACATGACAACGGCCAGTGTCTCTCTGCCTTCTTCCGCCTGCTACTTCTCTCACGATGGCACTTCCTGAAAAAACGATAAGCTACTGTGTTGAGCACAGGTCTTCTGGATGAGGACTGGTTGGTCCCGTGTCGAAAGATTCGGACCATCGCACGCGAATCCTCATGCTGCCATGGATCAATGGTGACATTGAGACAAGCACTGTTGCTAATGTGCCTCGCAGCCGCCACAAGTGACGTCCCCAAACACCTTTGGAGCCCCAGAAATATCTCCAATACCACCCAAAGTACCTGGTCAATAGAACTACGATAGAACTTCATGATCAAGAATTCACCAATAGATTCCAATCCATTCGAATCCACACCTGGCACCTGGAAATCCAAGTGCCCCGGAATCAAACCCTTGCTGTGCAAAAAAGTGTATATGTCTGATTGCCAAGGTGTCCCTCTAAGGTGTCTGTTCTCTCTGACGGAACAAAGTCACATTGGAGATCAGTGGATGAACATGGTTCTCTTTTTCGGGGCCATGCCATCATCACCCTGATGAGGGAGTGTAAGAGTTGGTGCAAATATCAAGTGGAAGGTCAAGTCGAAATTCTGGCAAAGGGTGCGGCGTTTCAGTGCTCCTCCAAGCTTGGAGAAGTGGTCGACATAGAGATGCTGAGATGCTGGTTTGATTTTGAATACTTTCTCAATGAATTGGTTCAAGGGAACATATGCAGGAAACCCATGCTTTTATCCCAAAAACGAAGGCTTCCCTCCTTTCCCTTCCACCAATTCTGGGATGTTCATTTTCGGCAGACCCTCACGCTGGTTGAGTTGTGTGCTTTCGGTTCATGCTGGGCGCTCTAGGTCCGCAGCAGTGGAACGATGCGTCGGAGGTGCGTGGAGTTGTATTCATGTGCCAAGAGAGAGGCCTCCCCCTAATAGCAATGGCCTCCAACCTATTTGCCAATGGCCTCCAACCTAATAGGAAGGATCCAACGAGAAATGTGGAGATGCATATGGAAGGAGCTGAGTGGCTCTGATGATGCTTCGATCCTGGCTCTGAGTCTCCAGAAACCACACCCAAACACTCCATGACACTTATGAGACTGGAATACATGCCTACTGAACCCATGCCTACCACCCCAATGTAGGTACATTGCTATAATGAGTAGTGTCAGGGAGACCTTCCAGTTCGACCCCCTGGAAGAAGGGACCAAACCCTTTGGTTTGGGGTCTCCCCTGTGCAATTTCGACGCAGTTTCCTTCACAAAGTCTCCCGGAAACCCAGCAGCATCACGGGTGCCCCAGCGCAGTTGATCCAACCCATGGACGCCCAATGGCGCCAAACGACTGGGCAGCCCAGCATACAAACAGAATCGAGTGGACGTTTGGAATCCAAATGGTTCCTTCAGAATCCGGGCCCCCAAACACCAACAATAGGCTGTCCAGAACCGAGCGTTGAAGGTGTTGGCCCATGGAGCCCGAGCTCCCTCGGCCCACAGATGGTGTGTTCTCCGCTCCCGTCTCCCAGTTCGATGTGTCACCCGCTCGGCTGAGGGCGGAGGCGTGCGCTCGGTAGCTCGGTGTCGACCAAAAAAACACCAAGGTGCAGCTGTTGTCTCCGCAGATCTTCTCCCCACTCGGAATTCATTTGCTCTAAGGCTGGCATCCACCTGACACCCGGGCTGGGCTCGTGAGCTGCTAGGGGTGAGCGGGGCCCAGGAGAGGAACCGAAGTCCGGACGGCAAACAGTGTGGTTTTCACCATGGTTTCTTCACTCCACGGATCCTTGATGATGTCAGGGCAGTATAACTGGTATTGTTTGAATTCTTGAGGCCAAAGAATAGGTTCCTCATTGCTTCGTGCCGTGGAGACCAAGATCCAACCAGATTCTGGGACCACTCAAAGACTCCGGGACAGCTGTTGCACATCAAACTCTACACCCATAAAAGGCGCTTCGTCCGTGCAGCTTCGGGTGGCAAAAAACGATGGGTGCTTGATGGCGGATCCTTTCTGGGACGGGTGGGGGTGCGACCGAGAAACCGAAGTTCATGTTTCAACATGGCTCATCCATTGCCGTTGGGTGGGGAACACCTGCGGCCTGACATTGACTATATATGATATTGTGTGAATAGTAACAGAACTAGTTATTTAAAACAATACAATAAAGATACAAGCAAATCAAAGTAATATTATATATACAATATATGCGCATATTATATACAATGGGTTCAACGCTAGAGCTGAAATTTTACAAACTTATGTGGAGCAGGGCAAAACTTTCACATAGAGCGAATTTGTTGAAAGAACGTCCGTTCCTCATCTGTTCCGCACTCAATATCACGATCGTTGCAGTCCAGGCCCACATACGCCAAAAAGAAAAATGACACACACGCACACACCGCCTCTTGCTTGGGGGCGGCTTCTGGCTTGTGAACCATCGATAGTCCTTCCAAAGCTCTGCTTTCACTGCTTGGCGCCATTCGAACCATGCCATCCTGGTGCCGATGCCAGGAAAAGAGTCGCACGGTGCAAGAATTTTAGCACTTTATGAATTTCAGGCGGTAAAAACTGCCAGATCTGTGCCACATCAACTCAAATCTGTGCATCAGCCAAATCTTGGCATCAACCAGGCCGAAAGAAGGACACATGTCAGCCAAAATAGAGACACATCCTGTAAGGTCCAAGTACCCATCTGGGTAGAAGTCCCGCAAGCTGTGAAGTGACATGAACATGCCTGCATTTGTAGGATCATGTCACCTAGGACGGTCTTTTCGCATCTTTCCACACCTTTCCAATCCGCAAAGATCGTCCAACTGCTTCACTGCAAGATGGATTGGGAAGCAGCTCCATCTAAGATGGATTCCGGACCCTTTTTCCTCATAGATGGCCTGGTATGTTTGGGCGCTTTGCCCGTTTCGGCGACGCACGTCACCGCTGGGGTCCATTAGCCAACCGCCCGGCTGTGCCAGGGCAGGATGCACGTCACCACTCGAATCATTGGACCGGAGACGCCATCAATCTGAGGATCCAGCTTAGTTGGTCCGACCGGCCGATCTTCCCCGCAGAACCAACGAACTGTCGAAGTCAGAACCAACGAACTGTCGAAGTCTAGCAAGTCCGCAGAAGCCCCTCTTTTCAAGCTGAAACTCCCTAAAATCAGTTCTTTCCAAAGGCCAGGGTCCTCCAATCACAGTAGTACTATATTTCGGGTGCCGGGTGCCAAGCTTCTTTCTAGATCCGCTGTGCTTGAAATAAGCATGGAATTCGATCCACGGTGCATCCCGATTTGCCATTGTGACTTTGAGGCTTCCATCAGCGCAGGTTCCGCAAAAACGTCAAAGGTTTGTCCTGATGGTTCCGCTCATTTGAGTTTATAAATATCGAGGCCCTCGTCACATCTCTCATCTCTCACTTCTTGGAGGATTTCTTCTTCTCCTCCTTCTCGCTGACCTTGTTACTTTTCCTGAGTAGGCATCACAAAATGCTTAAACTCCAGCAGCACCACAAATTACAAAACTCTACTATATGTACTGTAGTATCAGTATCGCAGTATAGCGATCCCCGCAAAAATAGAAACTGTGCCCAATGTCCAATACATGTACGCTGCATGACAGTGTGTTTCAATGCAAAAACGCATTAACATGATGTTTATGCTTAATTGGGTCTGTTTAGTAAACATGACAGAACATGATGGCACAAAGGAGCAAAGCACAGCCACACAGAACCAGTTTTAACACTTTTTTCGACTGTGGGAGCTGAATCTTTCTGTTCATGAGTCATTTTAGTCCTTTCTTCACAAGCAGGCCTCTTGATGTGTTGTAATTGGTTTCCGAAAAATATATAGACACAAAAATTTCAGATGAGTAGGTGGCCTCCTTCTGACCATTGAGGGATTGTGCCATTGACTTTGCCATTGCTAACGCAGAGGATCCCACCCTCAGCCCTTCTTGTTGCCAAGTGTCTGACTGTGTAGGATCAGTCTGGTCAGCAACAAGGCAAAATTGAACAGCAAAGCGCCAATCATCGCTCGTACTCCAAGCTCCCAGTCCAAGCACCGAAGGCCAAACCAAAGAAATGGACCACTCATGCTCCTGCCACCGTCGGAGACGTCCGGAAGCTCCGAGTCCGAACAGTTCGAAGTTCGCGGAGAAAAAGAAAAACAACCACTGCAGGTGACCCGAACGTTGGTCGTGCATTCGGAAGGAAGCCACCTGGAGGGGGGTTCAGAAAAACCACCAAACTTGGGCTGCTAGCTGCCAATGACACACCGTCGATCAGAATAAATTGATTGCGCCCCTCCGACGACCAATGGCCTCCAGCAGTTCTAGTTTTAGTCCCATCCAGCGAATGAAATAATGGGCACCCCTATCCTCCAAGTTCGGCACCACGACATGGAACTGCTGGTTCATTGATATACCTAGTTAGCTTGGTTTTAGAGCTTCGGTGCTTTGGGCCTCGCGACCTTGGGCCCTCGCGACCGTGGCGCGTTTCTTTGGCCTTTTTGCATGGAAAACGACTGGAACATACTGGAACACCGGAACACTCGGGAGGGATGCGGGAGGGATGAGGATGCCCAGGATGCCAAACCTAGGCACCGTGACATACAAAAATACAAAGCAATCCCAAATCGGGGTTTTTGTGCGTCGATTTTGGCAGCAAGTCCCAGAAGTCTTGACGTCCCAGGCTATGGAACAAATATGAGCAAATGATGCCCTGAGGTTCTAATCCCGGTACGACTAATGCCTTGAAATCATCCTGTCTTCTCTCTGAGTGTGGGGTATAGTATAAGAACGGTGCCACCCCATGGTTGACGCTGGTGGAACCCAAACGGAAGTTCTTCGTTTTGTGCCGTTTTCCGCCCCACTCTGCCAATCCCTGCGTTCTGTGAGTTTCTGTGACGATGCCAAGCGTCACAAGCTTAGTGAACTCTGCGAGCACTTCCTGTCTGGTCTTGCAACCTCAGGAACTCGACTTGCAAGACCAGGATCGGATTCGCAGTCTGGTCGTTTGTGGGACCACAGGGTGGTTGACCAAAAACGCTGATGAAACCCCCCCTCTCCCGACGTCTTCGCCAAACTGGCATGAACTGGTAATTTTCACGTGAATTGAAAGCTATGGCTATAAACAAGATATAACATTATTGCATGTATCATCGCATAAAAAAATCAAACAACATGTTTCTGTTATTTGGGTGTTTTATCAGAATCTTATCATGCACCCTTTTGGCTACATGCCTGGGTCAAGCGTCTTTCAGAAGGAGCAAAAATGATTTTGAAGATTTGATACCATGCATGGCTAGACCGAAAAGTCGAAGAAAAGCCTCGGTAGTTGAACCTTTCCAAGCGTCCGCCCAAAAAAGGACGGCAGTTGAACCCCAAAAACGGCGCTTTGTCTCCCGTTTTGGAGTGCATGTCCCTCTTTTCCATCGTCTTTTTTCACCTGTTCTTGTTGAGTGGGGTGTCCCCCAAAAAGGCTTTGCAAGTGATCCATTTATATATTCCTTGATAGGCCACCAAACCGGCGCACGAGTTTGTCAAAACTGACCAAATCAATTGGTGACCAGCTGCTACAGGGTGCTTGTTACAAACACTCACCCCTCAGCTTTGTTGAAATTATTGGCGATTGCCAAGCAACATATAATATATATATATACAGTAGAAAACATCATGCAGCATCAAATGGGTGTGGGGAGGGGGGACAAAACCGGGACATCCATTCTGTTCATTTGGATTGGTCACCCTAGGTGCCCCTTTTTTTACCCATAGCATCCCATAGCCATATTCTCACATGGCTGTGGGTCATGGTGCCAGAATATATACCGACCGGTTCACCTGGACCTTCCTTAAACGTGGGCCCACGGCACCCTGAAAGGTTGAACTACAATTATGAGCTGAATGAAGCTCGACATTGGAAGATGGAGAGAACCAAAATTAGGAGGAAAAACAAGTAGGAAAAAAACATAGGAACATACATAGGGTTACATAGGACAACAATTAGGAAACACATAAACAAACAATAATAATAATGTCAAACATTGGGACAACAAATAGGACACACAAATCTAGAGAACGCAAAACAAGCAGCCAGGCAAGAAGAACCACCCGAAGCAAAAATACCGCAATAAGGACCAATACCGCAATCTGAAGAGGTAAAGGCGAACTAAACAATCAAGAGTTCCTGGCCTTACGAACGGAGCGTTCGGACGCTACTAGGGGCTCCTTGGCATCGCTACGAACGGAACAGGGACACTATTGGTAAGTGTTCAAGGGAGGGTGGTGGGGAGTGGTCGAGGGCGGGGGTCGAGCGGCCTAGTGCTTTCCTAGCTAGTGTTGTACTATTTCGCGTCCTATGTTGTCCTATTTTATACCTATGTTTTTGCTACTTTATACCTATGTTACTCCTATGTTGTCTTGTTTTTCTTCGGGTGTGCTTGCTAGTTTGGCCGTTTTTGGAATCCTTTCGAGTCAGACCGGCTCTGAATCCCCCGAATCAATCCCCTTAGAGCACCCCGGCCTCTCCCGGTCAAGAGCGCACCCCACCCCCGATCAAACTCTGCAAGGACCCAATTCCTGAGCTCTTTGTTCGTGGTTGAGTTTCCGTGTTGTTCCTTTCTTGCTGCTTCTGTTGTTTCATGCTTCGGTTGTCTTGTTCCTTTTGTTTCGATTTCTGGGTTCCTTTGTTGTTTCTAATTTGACGTGTTTCCGATTGTTTGGTTTCTATCTTGGATGTTGTTCAGTTCCTATGGGTTTTCTAATTTTCATGAGTTTGAACACCCCCAGTCCCACCTTAACTTCATGCACTTCCTCATGATAAAAGTACAACCCCCCATGGTTTTCAGGGTCCGTCAGGCCTGGGCAACTCCATGTTTGGCCCTAAACCACCAAAAATAGCTACTAGCAGCAAGAAGCTGCTAGGAACAAAGGGCATCGCTACTAGTAACAAAGCATTACTACTAGGAGCGATACTAGTAACAAGAAGCTTTTGGGGCGAAGCCGGGCGACTCATGAGGCTCTCCAGGTTCTTTCGCCCGGTGTAGGCCAAGGGCACCATCGCCAACACGGCCCCGACCGCCTTCACCGGAACCCAAGCCATGATCCTCAGGACATGGGGACCAGGTCATGGATCCAAAAGCAGCATTTAGTTCGTAGAACATCAAGTGGAGAAGGATCCAGCCCTCAAGCCAGCAGGATCCATTGAACTCCAGGTTGCCGAGGCAACCTTTCGTCGTAATAAAGGTGAACCGTTTCCACCTGTTGATCTGTCAATAGAAACCAACCCTCCAAAAAGGTTATAAAGGTTGTCGGCTGGGTAGGGTTTTGGTGGCCAACTTCTGAAGACCTGTTGGCGTCGGAGTTGGCTACCCGATGCGTCGGTAGCAATGGTTTTGACCAAACGCACCTTTGAAATAACTCCAAACCCCAAGCGATGGCTACTGAAGGTCTGTATAAACTGAAAAAACGTGGAACTTCACCTACTGTGCCAAGTGTTCAGTGCGGAAAACCACGCGTTTTCCCACACAGCACCTCTGTTTTTTCATGTCGTTCACCACGTGGTGTCGCTGCAACGACCGGTCGTTGTGCCAGGGGCGCCCGAAGAGGAACTCGGCGATCACCAGTCCTCGGATACAGCGGGCGGCATGAGGGTCCCAAAGGCGAGAGGTTCTGAGGATTTGTAGGTGTAGACTCTTCCAGCTTCTTCAAACTGACCTGTTGAAGGTTCCTACTAAGGTTCCTAAGTGACCCTCAGGCTTAAGTGACCTCAAACCAGGTTATCAAAAGGTCACTTTGAAGAACCATGTTGAGGAGTGGTCCTTGAATGGTCCCCTAACCACATCTTGAGGAGTGGTCGACCCCTAATGTAGACTCTTGAGGACCATACACCCCAGCCAGACATGAATTGAACCTCCTCTGTCAAAGGGGTGGTTTAGACACATCAAGAGTCTACATTAGGTAGGATTTATAGGTGACATCTCAATCCTGAAGTAAGCTAAGCTGAGCTGTAGAAGTAACATGCCTGCCAGGCACAACCCAGTTTGGGTGATTTGTTGGATGGAACTTGCGGGTCTGTGAACCACTTGCGCATGGTGCTGGCGGAAAACCATTGACCCCATGTGGAAAACCTGTGCGATGTTGCCAAGCACAAAAGCCCGTTCAGACAGCAAAGCATCGCCCGTGGAAACGACGACCCCAGAGCTGGAACTGGAAGCGACCATAAGCGACCCCTCAAACATCTGCGTCCTTGCTCCGTTCGTAGCGATGCCAGGAGCCCCTAGTAGCTTCTTGCTCCTAGTAGTAAGGCCAGGAGCCCCTAGTAGCGTCCTTGCTCCTAGAATCTTCAAACCATCTTCACCTCATCCCTGGAACAGCAACTATTGTCCCATCCCATTTGAGTTGTTTTGGGGTTGGACATGCGGGAACGTGCGTGCTTGGAAGTGAGCCACACTTTTGCATTAATGCAGTGATTGACTCGTAACCAAACAGGTTTGGAGCCTTCGCAAATAAGAAAAAGGTAGCCCTAAAAACGCTTGATCAACTCCTAGCTCCCTGCAGACTAACAGTGAACATCGAGGCCATGTTCGATTCTTCTCATCTGCCACCCAGTGGTTTTCAGGGTCCCTGTTGTCCCCTGCAGAGGGGTAAATTTATTTCAAAAATGAGATAGGCTATGATAGGCTGTATATGGTTGTTATGTCATATCCAAAATACCGATCCTGCAACTATCAAACCACTATGCTTTTAATTAGCACTCAAAATATCACAAATCTGATTGCCAATAATGGAGATGCATTCATTGTTCTAAATGTTCTAAAACTTATGTATGCTGTTTGTTTCAGTTTAAATGATGGTGTTGCAGCACCTCAAACACTTTATCTTGCAGCAACTTTTGCCCGAAACTGCTTGCTATGCCACGTGGCGAACTCCAAAGAGCACTGTCGAACCAAAACTGCCCAAGAGTCCTGGGCGTGACTGAGCGGGAGAACACTTGTGATGTGCGCTTCATTGGTTAATTTTTGTTGTTGAACACGCATGCTCAGAAGCAGCTACGAGGTGTTCTGTTTACACCTTTGTCTTTGCAGCTACGAGGTGTCATGCCCCTCCTAAGGGCGCTGGAAAGAAGCGTTCGTAGTGCTGCTTGAACTGCCCAGTTGCAGCCACTGTCAGGACCCAAGGCTTGGTTCGGTCTACGGTTTGGTCGTCTTTGGAACCACCGGCTACCTACTATACCCTGAGAGTCCAGGTAACTCATGGACTGCCCCTAGTGGTGGACTATGACTGCCAGGTGGAGTAAAATGAGTCATTGATAGTCATTGTGCTTTGCCTGGATCCACTGTCACTGGGATCCAAAGAACCCAAAACTCAGGACGAGTTTGTGAGGACACGACTTGTTCGACTTCACGTCTTCCACGACGTCTACGGCACTGACAAAACCATTTTGTTGCATCAACAAAACAACACATAAGCATCAAAGACGTAGCCAACAAAACGGTCTTTGTATTAATGTGAAAACCGCTATATTGTTCATGGGAAACTGAGGGCCCGCTGGTGGAACCAAACACAACATAGCAACCAGTTGTTTCATCTATCCCTGCCCAACACTTCTTTGCATCCAGGTTGCGGAACACGATCTCCACCTTGGTTTTTTGCTTGAGACACTGGACAATTCAACCTATCACTTACCATCAAACACGTTCCCATCAAACACGGGGATAAAACCGGGACAACAGGACATCGACTACGAACATCGACGACGGACATCAACGAAATCGCCCGGCCACCCATGGATGTTGTTCCGTGAGTTTGCTCGACTTCACCCGCGTCGTCACCGTCTGCTTCGCCATGGCTCCGTGCTGTTCATCCGAGGCGGGTCGACCCGGCTGCGCCGGAATAGCGGCTGCGGAGAGACAGCGGAGCGCCGATCAGGTTGGCCCAGTTTGGGGGATTGACCCGAAATGGAGCAAAGATTGGACAATCAACACATATAAACACCAGCCAGAAAGCAACAACCAAGAAGTAGGATCCAAGAAAGCAGGTTCCATGGATCCCAATGACCCAAAAATACATCTGAAAAACAACATCCGCATCGTGGTTGTTTTGACACGGCTCCCTTCATGACGCCTGAGCACGACCAAGCAGGAAGTAAGCACTCCAAAAGCTTACCAGCTCGCTTCTGTTTATCCTTGCACATCATAATCCATGAATAAGATATTATATGATCATATAAGCATATAAGATCCTTCCTCCCATGCAGTGATGTCGAACTCACACGTTGTCCTTTATCGTCTTTTATCATGACTATGAGTTTCACAGCCATCAGCCAGAAGTCACCGTGATAGAGATCTACACTCCGACTCACTAACACGGAAGTGGAAACCATCCTATTTGTAAAGGAAAGTAGCCTTCCAAGAGACCATGCCGTCCACGTAACCATGTAAGTGAGTGAGAGTGTACTCTCTGCGTCGGAAGACCATGTTCCACCATTTTCCTCTTACAGAGTGGTGCAAGCAGGGGGGGTCCATGGCCCACTTCTGAGTATAGTGAGATCGATTCCTTTCCATGTCTCTTCTCCATCCCGATGACAGGGAAGTGGGCGTGGATCAATCCACCAATCGTCGAGGACAGACTTCCACAACCATTAATATAAAGCTTATACCCTAGGGATCCAAGTACCTTCTCAGAAGGTGATTGGAGACACTGATATGTAGGTTTGGAGGGTCCAAGTACCTTCTGAGAAGGTATGATTGGATCCCTATAGAGATATTATGCATTCCATGAGTAGGCACTTGAAACATGTTATAGTAACAATATTACACTTTTTATACCATTTTTTGCAGTGGGGTAAACAATTGAATTTCTCCTTCGCCTTCAAGGCATCGCAGTCATTGAAGCCGCTGCCACATCGGAAGCTGCCGCCATCCGCATGGCGAAAGGTGGCGAAATGCAGGCGGAACGAGGCGGAACTCAAAGCCTGGGAACCCAGTTGTACATGTTCGTCACAAGCTTGACGAAAATGTCTGGCCATGTTTAGTCCGCTCCCTCATATATATATATATATATATAAGGAACATGATCGAGATACGGATGGTTGTGGATGATGTGTCGAAGCGATGACCCAGCAACGCATGCTGTTCACCAGGACCTTCAAAGTGACCAAACTTGAGATCTCAGGATGAGGTCACTCATATGGATTCCAAAGAGGTCACGAACTGAAGGTCCTGGCAAACCGTCCACTTGGTCGGACACATCAAAAAGCATGCGAAAGCTGCGTGACTTCTAATTGATGTCCATCTACATTTTTTTGCGTTGTTTTTCAGTGTGTTCGTCGTGACGAAAGCCTCCTGAAGAAGTGTTCAAGCGAGAAGAGATGAAACAAACATGTCCAAAGCAGTGGATGGCGCCCAGATGCTCCTGGACCCTCACATGGAGGGATCCGACCCTCAGTATGGGGGTCCGGACCCGAACCAACCCCTATGGCCTTGAGCGACCAAGGGTTGATTGGAGCGTTCTGGGCACATGTGGTGTTTCTCGGGTTCACTCTCCACTCTCCAGCTGCTGTCACGTGGGCTGGTCTCCAGCCCACGGTTTTTGAGTGGACGGAAGCACTGGGCTGGGATGGGTCCGCCCGTCAAACATGCCCAAATGTACAAGGCTGGCACCCAAAGCACCAGAAGGAGAGGTTGATCAACTGATCAACATATGATGTCATGTTGCATCCTTCAGTCGTACTTCCAGAGTCGTCATTCCATTGACCCGCACGTAAAAAACCGATCTATTAATCTAGGGGCCCAACACCACCGGCCAAAAATGGCTCAACGGCGGAGTGATGGGCTCCATGGAAATGGTTGTCCTGGTGTCCTGGGGTGCCTGTGCCCTGCCCCCCATGAGGCACGTGCGATGCCGATCTCTGAGGCTCTTGCCCCATACGCCCTCGTGGGCCTTTCATGAAAGACACCTTGGGGGGCAGGGCCAAAACGGGTTCTCATCATTCCAAGGCAAGCCATCTAACGCTCACGTTCTGCAAACACGATTCACCCACACACGTCACACTGCACCTCCTCCCTGAAACCCACATCTCGAACCAGTTGGCCACACGTCGACGTCTCGAGGGAGGTTCTGGCTCCCAACTGGCTGAGTGGGAGAACCTCTGAGAAACTGGACAAATCCACCCCACAAGATTAAGAAAGTTTTCCGATCCCAACAAACTCCCCACACATGTGGCACCGCGGCATACACCTATACACACCGGGAGTCACCAAGTTCACAAGATTAAGAAAGTTTTCCGATCCCAACACACTCCCACACCATGTGGCATATCCAAAAACGCGCGACCTTGCGGACAGTCCATGCCATGTGACAGGTTCAGGGCAGTAGGTCATGCGTCAAGCATGTGGCATACATCTACACACCAGGAGTCACAAAGTTCACAAGACGGGGTGCCGAACTTGGAGGATAGGGGTGCCCATGATCCACTCACTCAGGGACTAAAAACCACCCCTTTGTGACTCGTGGTATATCTATAGTATACATTTGGGGTGGTTGACCTGGGGTCAATCTAGGTATCTATGCCAGTCCCAGCTTCTGGGTCGCTGGACTCAGATTGTCGGTCAGCGGACTCAACGAAGTCGCCTTCTGAGGTCGGTCAAGGCCCCCCTGCCAGGGGGGTCCGTGGCTCAAATTCATGAGGCCCGTGCCACGGGCCAAGCGTTCTCGCGGAAGAACTGCAAGAGCGTGTGGCAGTTGTGCAGGCCTTTGAAGCGGTTTCCGCTTCGCTGGACAGAGTGTCACAGGGGCCCGCAGGTCACAGTGGGCCAATTGGGGTGCAGACGCAGACGGCGACCGGCCGGGAGATGAAAAGAAACTCATGGTACAAACCAGGTACAAACCCGTTGAGTTCGCAATTCGTGGATGCACCTGGTCCTGTGAATCTCTCAGGTGGATTTGGACAGCAAAAGCGAGGGTCCTGAGTCCTACCCTTCTAGCAAGGTGGTTGGATCGTGGAGTAATCAATGGACAAGGTTTTGACATGCTTTCACCGGTTCAGTGAACTGAGGTGGGCCTTCGCCAAAGGATCACCTTTTTGAATCCCCCCATCAATTGCCACCAGGCCACCGGTAGAGCTCTCTCAAAATCCCGAAGCAATTAATCACACAAAGGCCCGCGATTGACGTTCAAGAATTCTGTGTGTGGCTGTCAAGTCAAGTGTTGCCAGTTCTGAGTTGCACTTCACCCAAAGAATTGAGATCGGCACGCTCAGAATTTATTGCATGCGGATATTGCATGGTCAAATTTGTGAGCCCCCTCGTTGTCCAATGTTTTGGAACCTTGTTACGGGATAAATTGGATGTCTTCTCTCTTTTTCTATAAGTACCCGATCAGGATTTGGATATCTTCTCTAGGACCTAGGATTCCAAGCACCATTGATTTATACATGTATATATATACACACCATGGGTTTTGCAAAACAACCATCGAACCATTGTTTGTTCTGTAGGACCTAGGATTCCAAGCACCATTGATGTATATATATATATGCACACTATGGCTTTTGCAAAACAGCCATCGAACCATTGTTTTTTTTTTTTTTAAGATCTTATATACACTACACAACCAGGTGAAGTTCAATGTCGTTTAATACTACCAATCCTGGGTGGATGTTGGGGTGGTTGAAAAATGTTTCAAAAATCCTGAAGGCTTCAGGCTTCAGCAACCTCACCCTCAATCAAACAACTGGATCTGTTCTTCATCCCAGGTGAGCGGAAACCATGAAGTGCCTTCAAAATGTGCGATGATTCCTGCGTAAAGGCATGTCTCATATGTCCCCAGCCCCAACACCAATTGCCAGGCTCTCCCGCTGTTGACGAAGATCAGCGTACGCCTCACATGCGCAGGCGTGGTCGAAAGCGCAGCGCACCAAGAAGCTACGAATTGCAACTTGGAGTTGTAAGGAATAGGCTAGTAGTGGCAAGAAGCTACTAGTAGCTCCTGGCATTGCCACTAGGAACAAGAAGCGACTAGTAACAAGGGCATCGCTACTAGTAACAAGGGCGTTGCTACTAGTAGCAAGGCAAGAAGATACTAGTTGTAGGGAATAATAGGTCTATAGTCCAAGTGCCCTGGCAGGCTCCGGCATGAAGGCCGTGCTAGTACCACGATCAGTGAGCTGCAGGTCCGCTGAAGATGATCAATTCTCACCCAGAAACGATCAGAAATGCCTGATGGCAGTGAAGGACCTTGAAAAGACATGTCTGATACCCGGAAATGTCTGTTTGGTCCTCACCCAGAAATGTCCATAGTACATCATAGTACCATGTCTCAGCAGTGAGTTTCGAAGCACAAGCACCTGGATCAGGACCAAACCGCCGACCGGCTGACCGCTGGCTCTCCGGCTGGCAAGGTGTCTGGCGGAGCACATCCACCAGTTCCTCCACGCGTTGAAACCAATCATCGCCTCAGTCGGCAAACAAAGCACATGGTAGGGGTGGCAGCATGGTAGGGGTAGCGTTGGTCTACCATAGAGCCTCATACTCTGGTTTTTTCAGGCGCTGCGGGTGGCGCAAAGCCATGCTTTGCCTGCTCTTTCACGGGTGCACAAAACGTATGTTCAGGACTTCCTGTCCAAGAGGTTGGTAAGTATCCGTGCGCGTGACAAATTGCAGGATTTGGACCCAAACACTTCATATGTATGCATGGAATTTGTCCCTACATTGGGGTGGTTGACCTGGGGTCAATGTAACATTCCATTCATAAAGTGTATGGGGCTGAGTTCCCGTGATCTTTTAGACCGATACCACGCCAGTCCAACCACACAGCACGCCCACCACGCGAACAACTGGATCGTCTG